AACATGAAGAGATAATAATTCAACACAAAGAGATAATAATAAGAAATATCAAGAGTTGAATCACATTTTTGAGCAAATGGACTTAATATATATCTACAGTGTTCAACCCAACAACAGAATATACCTTCTCAGCAGTGCATGGAACTTTAAAAAAAAAAAAAAACAGACCACATAGTAACCCATCAAACATTCTTAAATAAAATACAAAATAACTAAAGTTATTCTATGCATATTATCAGATCATAGTGCAATGAAAGTAGAAATCAATGGCAAAAGAAACCACAGAAATTATGCAGATGTATGGAGATTAAATACTACATTCTTGAATAATTGATGAACCATGGAAGAAAATAGTTCCTAGAATCAAATGATAATGCCAGTACAACATATGAAAACCTATGGGTCACAATGAAAGCAGTCCTTTGAGGGAATTTATAGCTGTGAATGCCTACATCAGAAAAAAAAAAAGAGCAAGCCCAAATAAATAACCTAATAATGCACCTCAAGGGCCTAGGAAAACAAGAACAATCCAAATCCAAATCAAGTACAAAGAAGGAAATTATAAAGATTAAAGCAGAAATTAACGAAATTGAGACTAAAAAGAAAAACCCCAAAATAAACAAACAAAAACAAACCCAAAGAATCAATAAATAGTAGAGTTCCTTCTTTAAAAGAATAAACAAAATAGACCTTGGCCCTTAGCCAATCTTACCAAAAAATACACAATCTATATGAATGCAATTATAAATTAAGGGCAAAATCACAATGGATACTACTGAAATCTAGATTAATTAATAACTACTTAGAAAATCTGTACTTTAATAAACTGGAAAATCCAGAAGAAATGGATAAATTACTAGATACATATGAATTACTGAAAGTGAACCAAGAAGATATAAAAACCCTGGATAATCCAGTAACAAACAATGAAATTAAAGCAGTAATAAAAAACCTACCAACTAAGAAAAGCCTAGGACTTGATGGATTCACCACTGAATTCTACAAGAACTTCAGGAACCATCTAATGCTAATATTCTTCAAACTCTTTAATGAAACTGAAAGGGAGGAGTATTGCCAAAGTAATACCTGGAAGCTATCATTATCTTGATTCCAAAACCAGACAATGACTCCATTAAAAAAGAAAATTATAGGATAATCTCTTTAATGTATGTAGATGCAAGGATCCTCAACAAGATACTGGCAAACACAATGCAACAAATCATCAAAATGATCATACATCATGACCAAGTAGGCTTCATCCCAGAGATGCAAGGATGGCTCAACATATGCAAATCAATAAAAACAATACATCACATAAATAGAAGAACAAAAATCACATCATCATCTCAAAAGACAGAGAAAAAGCTTTTGACAAAATCCACCATCTGTTCATGGCAAAAATCCTGAAGAAAACAGGTATAGAAGGACCTTATCTCAACTGGATAAAAGCCATTTATGACAGACCTACATCCAACATTTTATTAAATAGGGAAAAGCTGATAGCTTTCCCTTCTAAAATCAGGAACAAGACAAGGGTCTTCAACATTGAACCACTCCTGTTCAACAGAGTACTCAAACCTTTAGCCAGAGCAGTCAGATAAGAGAAATAAAAGAGATACATAAGGAAAGGAAGAAGTCAAACTAGCCTTACTTGCAGATGGCACGGTCGTCTACCTAGAAAACCCAAAAAATTCCACCACAAGACTTCTAGAATAAATAACCAAATTCAGCAATGCAGCAGGATACAAAATCAACACATAAAAATCAGTAGCATTCCTGTACACCAATAATAAATCCACTAAGAAATTAGGATAACAATACTATTCATAATAGCATAAAGATAAATTAAATACTTTGGAATTAAGATAATGAAGGAACTGAATGATCTCCGTAACTAAAATTACAGTATTCAGAAAAAGGAATAGAAGAGGACTGCAGAAAATGGAAAGATATCCCCTGTTCCTGGATAGGCAGAACCAATATTGTCAACATGGCCATACTTCTAAAACTGTTATACAGATTTAACGCAATCAAAATAGCAGCAGCATTCCTCACAGAACTACAGGAAACAATCCTAAAATTCTTACAGAATCAGAAGAGACCCAGAAATTCTGGACAACAAAAGCAAAGCAGAAGGCATCATTATTCCAGTGTTCAAGTTATACTACAAAGCTACCGTGATTAAAACAGCACGGTACTGGCACAACAACAGGCATGTGAACCAATGAAACAGAAGACAGGAAGCAGAAGCAACACAAGGCACATTCAGCCTTTTCATCTTTGGTAAGGGGGCTAAAAGTATGATGGAGGAAAAAACAGCCCCTTTAACAAACAGTGCTGGGAAAACTGGCTATATACATGTAGAAGACTGAATCTAAACCAAATCTAAATGGATCAAAGATCTAAATATTAAACAATCTGCTGGAAGATAAAATAGGTAAAACTCTGGAAGTCATAAGGCATAGGTGAGGATTTTCTGAACAGAGTGCCAACTGCACAATAAAACTGTATCAAGAATCAACAAACAGGTTTATAGCAAATGAAAAAGGTTCTGCACACCGAAGGAAACAAACCAACACAGTGAAGAGACAATTTACAGAATGGAAAAAACAAATCTTTGCCAGCTACACTTCGAACAGAAAACTAATTTCTAGAACATACAAAAAACAAGAGCCAGGCGTGATGGCACATGCCTGTAATCCCAGCACTCAGGAGGCTGAGGCAGGTGGATCATTGCACGTTCGAGACCAGCCTGGGCTACAAAGTGAGTCCAAGGCTAGCCTGAACCGCATAGCGAGACCCTGTCTCAAAAAGACAAAAAACCAAACCAAAACAAAAAAACACCTCAAGAAAATTAGACCCCCCACACACACACAAATAAGAGGCCTAGTAAAAAAAAAAACAAGGAACTAAAAGGAACAGACACTTCTCAGAAGTGGTACAAATGGCCAATAAATACATGAAAAATAACATCTCTGACCATTAAAGAAGTGCAAGTTACAATAGCACTGAAATTCTATCTCACTCTAAATGAATGGCTATCATTAAGAAATCAAATAATGACAAATGCTGCTGACACTGTAGGGAAAAAGGAACTCTTCTATATTGGTGGGAACATACACTAGTATACTTACTATGGAAATCACTATGGAGAGTTCTCAAAAAACTAAAACAAGAAATTCCATTCAAACTAGCTATTCTCTTTCTAGGTATCTTCACAAAACAGTGAAAGATATCATATTACAATGATACATGCATACTCATGTTTACATAGCATGTTCATATGATATACAGCAACACAACTCACAATAGCTAAATTCTGGAAACAACCCATATGTCCATCAATAGGTGAGTGGATAAAAGAAATGTGACATTTATACATAAGGGAGTACTACTCTGTCATAAAGAAGGGTAAACTTGAATCATTTGTAGGAAAATGGACATACCTTGAGACCTTAATGTTAAGTGGAATAAATCAAGACATACAAGCTTAAAATTGCATGGTTTTCTTTTACATGAGAAAAATGAAAGAACGCAATAAAAGACAGATAATAGGCGCTAGACGTTCCATGAATGAGAAGGGAACTAAAGATGGATGGAGGGGGTAAGAAGTGAGGGAAAGGGGACATAAAAAGAATTAGGATATGTTATCTACATGCACCAACTTCTCATTTTGAATGTAATCATTATGTACTGCAAACATGTACCAATAAGAACAAAAATAAAAATGAATAACTTTTTTTTATTTAAGTTCTTCTTGAGGTAATACAGAAACACTAATGCAATCTAATCTTACTTTGGTACTACCTGAATACGATACTTCTTAAATTACTCTGTTCCCCCAAATATAGTAATACAGTTTTGGACACAATACAAAATTCTCTTTATGCCAGTGTTTTTCAAACACAACTATCAAAACTATGAGTGACTGTAAATTAAATGTACTCAAGGAGAGACTGCCCCCTTGTGCCAATCAATAATTATTCAACAAACTAAGAAAGAACTAACAACTAGTTCAATATTACAGGTATGTAGGTACTTAAAAATACCTTGATCAGTTGGTAGTGTGGCTCAGCGATAGTTCTATTACTAAAGCCTTGGATTCCATCTTCAGCATGCATACATACATAGACCTTGATCTTTCTTTTGTCTTCTGTTACTGGTTTTAGGCTTTGGTTTTTTGAGACAAGATCTTGCAATATTTACCAAGGCTGGTCTCAAACTGCTGGACTCCCTGATCCTCTGGATTCAGCCACCTGAGTAGCTGGGACTAGAGACATGCACCACCACACCTGGCTTTCTGGGTTTGATTTTAACAGCTTATATTTAAAGTGGTGATCTTTAAGGACATATGAATTGAACTAGTACCCTAAGCTCATAAAACATGACTAATTTATGACACTCAATGGCAAGTATCAATATAATTCCTAAAACTGTAATTTATAACAGCTTACAGGCTGAGTTCAGACAGTAGTAATTTTTTGATCTTTAAGTTCTACAACAAAATACAGAAAACAGAAAACTCCATTATATTTTAGAAAAAACCAGATGACACAGGAATAGAATATGGTGATGTTAAAATGCATGTATAGTTCATACAAGTTTTTAGGTATTTTTCTTCTAAAATCTTGGAAAATAAAACTCTTTTGGGGGGATTTGATATGTGGCCTAATTACTCCTTATAAAGCTGACATTACTAATAAACTGTAGTATGGACAAAGCATTAGAACAACTAGATTTACCAAAGAGAAGAATACATTAATGTAATAAAATACATTTACAGGTAAAAAAAAGTAAGTAAAACATTCAACAACAGAGTATCTTTTTAATTATGGGTGGAACATTTAATTCCATTTCTATTGAGTAGAGTCATTAGGAGAATTAAATGAATTATCACGGATAAAGCACTTACTGGATAAGCTATGAAATATCTGTTACATAAGTAAATGAGTTAATAAGCAAAGTGACTACACAGTACTCACACACTTGATGATACTTACTTTCGAAGATGGTCATGTTCTTTCAAAAACAGTTCAGTTCTCCTGTTGTTTACTCCAGATCCACTTTTATATGACCTAAAACAACATAAAGAAAATTTAAGAATATTTTTGGAAGATAATTCAAAATTAGATTGACTAATCCTAGTGATATCAAAAGTAGACACACTGGGGCTGGGGATTTAGCTCAGCGGCAAAAGCGCCTGCCTGGCAAGCGCAAGGTCGTGAGTTCGGTTCCTGGTACCGGAGAAAAAACAGAAAAAACAAAAACAAAACAAAACAAAAAAAAAAGTAGACACACTGACTCTCCCTAGTTTTGAATGAATAAAGTTAAAATGCTTTTCATTTTGCTCTAAAACTGCTATCACAATGAGACAAATATGAATGTTCCGCTAATCTTTTTTTCTTGAGACAGGTCACTCTATGTTGCAGGCAGGTCCTGAATTTGCATTCCTCCTGCTTCAGCCTCCTGACTAGCTGGGGCTGCGGGTATGTGCCAGTAAGCCTGGCTCTATTGTGTAAAAGACTGTTTTTTCATCAAAATAACCTAATATTCTTAAATAACAACAAAAATATTACCTTTCCTCTATTATCTTCTATATATTAATTTTTCTAGGTAGAAGCAAACCCTTGGACTGATTAGTATATCACACGTGGAGTGGGGAAGCTACTGAAACAACGTTTTCTTTCCTAATAGTACATGCCACCCCACAACTGAAGCCTGAGAAATGCTGAAATGAAGTGTTCAATGAAGTGCCAATTTGGGAACGCTCTATCTTAGTCTCCAACACACTAAGTTTTATTTTATTATTATTATTATTATTATTTTTTGGTACCAGGAATTAAACTCAGGACCTTGTGCTTGCCAGGCAGGCGCTTATACCGCTGAGCTATATCCCCAGCCCCCAAATTTTAAAGGGCCTTTTACATTACTGCCAATACTTTTGTTCTTTCTGTTTTCTGTTAGCATGGATTACCAAGAACAGTCTTGGAAAAACTTAGGAAACTGCACAAACACTGCAGTAAGAAAAAAAGACAGTCACGCCGCTAAAACCAAACTACGGGCTGAGTGGCAGTGCTACTATGCAGCACACAAAGAGAACCACAAGAAGTAGAACGATTCCGCCACAGACTGTAAGACTGATAACTTGAAATTACGTCTATTTTCTTCATTTACTAGCCAGGTAACCTTAGTCAAGTCTCTCAATACCAAGTTTTATAAAATGAGACTAATAATTTCTATCTTTAGCAAAATATTATGAAGCCAAAAAGAGATAATTCACAAAAAAGTAATGTGTAAACTGCAAAAAACTGTAAAACTCTCCTAGGTGTCATTATTATAACTCATCTCACTACTCATAATCTCCCTTGTATTATACTAATCTAAGTATATACCTTCCTCCCCTCTAGCACCTAAGTTATATAAAGTCCTACAAGGCCAAATTGGTCTTTTCATTTCAGCATTCTGTTGTGCCTGACACAATGTCTTACTCAGGAAGCAGTTTAAAGAAAGGATGAATTTTTTAAATCTTTCAAAAAAAGTAAGTTATTACAGTGGGTTGGATTCTTTTTTTTCTCACTCCATTCTTCAAAATGTATTTATAAGTCAACTGTACAAAAATTAAAAAGACCTACATATACCATTAGGACAAACAATACTGCACCTGTCTTACCACTGAAACTGTTACGATAGTACAACAAAATCAAGGATCTCCAGGAAACTGTTTCTCAGAATGCATTTAACACACAGAATAATGAGATCTAAGTCTCATAAACTTGTTATAAGTGAAACAATGATAGGTATCACCAGATAGTTCAAAATAAGAACGTCTTCAGCTTCAATTAGATGCCTATACGACTCAATTTTGTCAGGCAAGTTCAGTTGTGAAAAAATTTTCAAAAATATGTAGGAAATGTTAGACTATATCACTGAAGATGAGGAATGGAAGAAAGACAAACCTTTAAACTTATGAACTGAAATAGCATAAAAATGTTGGAAGTCTTTAAGTAATTTTAATTATGTTTGTATTATCTCTATGGAAAATTACATATTTCAGAATTTTAGGGAAATAAAGGCTGCAATAAATAGCTATCTGAATATATAATTGTGGAACAAGAGAGAGGAGCAGAAGATGGGTGGTAATCAAGAAGAGAAATGTAGAGAGCTTCATCTGTAAGGTTGTAATGTTAGAATAGTAAGAGACCACAGAAGAACTCATGAAGCTATCATTTACGCTGGATTTTGTATTAAGACAGGAAAGTCAGGAGACAATAGTAAAACTAAGAGAAGCAGGGGAGAAGACTGACAAAGTAGATTAGGACTACATTAGAGCAGCAATGTTCAAAGAACAGTGAAATGGGAATTAGAAACCCTGAAATCCAAATCCTGGTTTTGCTACTCAATTTGCAACTAATTACAGATATTTTAAAAATCTGAATAAACATTCTATAAAAAATATAAAAGGTAACTTACTCAATATCTTTTCGTACTGATCCCATGAGATTCTCCCTTTCTCGTATTGCCACAAAGTTTGCTTTGGTTTTATGGAATTCATGTGTATAATCCTGCAATAAATCAACATCCAGTCTCAACATGAACTAATTATGTATTTTCATCTTACTGAACCAGTTGTGTATTGTTATCATACTGTATATTACAAAACACTACTCCTCCTATCTTTTAGTACCTTGTCTTTTGATTCAAAATTATAAAGAAAAAATTCTAGGATAAAATGGCTTCAAAATAGCCAAGGGCAACCACAGTGAACCTTTTAGAGTTTTCAGTGATAACAAATAGTCCACTATAGTATGATGCCATAGGTGTGCCACCACTAGCCTAGGATAAAGCTTGCGAAGTTTACCTACTTCATTATTGTACCTACTGGGGCTTATTTTCAAATTTCCTCCTTTTGGAGCTCCTAGAAATTTAATCCCTAAATTAATCAAAGGAAGAAAAAAATCAAGAGGATTGTAAGGAAAGAATAATCTGTAAACATTTTCCTTTGTTTTTGTACAACTATACTTGTATATTATTAAGACATTAAGGAATATTTACTATTTTAATTCTGAAAAGCAGATAACGATGAAAATAAAAATTTCATCTCCAAGAGACCTTATTAACCTTTTAAAAAAAATTATGAGAATATTAAAAGAGCATGAGAATATTAAAAAAGACATGAGAATATTAAAAGAGCACCCAAAGTATTAAAGGTAAAGAAACAAAAATGTTTTATTCTACCACTTGTGACTATTACCACTTTTTCATGCTTCTTTTTAGGAAATAATGTTTTTGCACATAAAAATTTATCCATTATTTCTTTCAATTTTTTGTTAAAGAAATCAGAGTATAAATTCTAATGCACACTTTATTTTTTACAGAGTAAAATATATCAATCAATTCATATTGTCAAACAAATCTAATCTACAACCCTATTTTCCCCTTTATTTTTGGTGGTGCTAGGGACTGAACACAGGACCCTAAGCATACTAAGTAGGTGCTCTACTACTAAGCTATGTCATTCATTTTAGTAGCTGCACAGAATATAATCTTATGATTCTGTAAACTCTAATTCCCTAAATAGACATTTTAATTGCTTTTGGTTGTTTGCCACTACGAAGTGCTACAAAAAACATTCTTGCACTCTTGTACATATATATTGTTGGACTCTTTTTTTTTGGTCACTGTACTGGGGATTGAACTTCGGGCCTTTGCCCTGAGCTATATCCTCGACTCTTCTTTAATTTTTTATTTTGAGACAGGGTCTTGCTAAGTTTCCCAGGCTGGACTTGAATTTGCCATCACCCTGTCTCAGCCTTCTGGAGTGCTAGGGTTACAAATCTATACCATCATGCCTGGCTTGTTGAACTTTTTTTAAAAAAAGGCATGTTTAGAGCTGGAGATATAGAATGGTAGAAATCAGTGTGGAGATTCCTCAAAAAACTAAAACGAGAGGTTCCATTTAACCCAACTATTCTCCTTCTTGGTATCTTCCTGAAAGAAAAGCACCATACCACAGCAATACATGCATACCCATGTTTTTAGTGGCACAATTTGTAACAGCTAAATCTTGGAAATAGCCCAAATGCCTATCAACTAATGAATGGAGAAAGATGTGTTTTTATACAATGGAGTACTCAGCTATAAAGAAGGATAAACTTGGGACATTTCTAGGTAAATGGATGTACCTTGAGACTATACACTTAAGTGAAACAAATATGACACATGTGTATAACTATCACATTGATTTTCTGGTTAGAGAAACCAAAAGCATACATAAGGACCAAAATATACAATAGCCACTGTGAAATAGGCAGAAAATGTTCAAATGGGATGGAGAACTAGGAAGGGGGAAGGGGAAAAGAAGAAAGAGAAAAGGAAAAAACTGAGAAAAGAAGTAAAAAATGGAAACAAAGCTTTTGTAAATAAGCAGGGCAAAACGGGTTGAAGAGAGGTTAGGGGAATGGGAAAAAAATAGAGCTGGGGATGTAGCTGTGTGGTAGAGTGCTTGCCTAGCACATGCAAGGCTCTGGGTTCAATCCCTAGAACTGTAAAAAACAACACAAAAACAAAAAAACAAAAACTCCACTAAAATAAAAGATATATTTAAAGAATAAATGTTGGGCACGGTGGGGCATGCCTGCAATGCCAGCTACTTAGGATGCTGAGGCAGGAGAATCTCAAATCTGAGTCCAGCCTCTGCCACTTAGGGAAGCTTGGTGGTAGAGGACTTGCCTAGCATGCATAAGGCTCTGGGTTCAACCTCAGAATTGCAAAGGAAAAAAAAAAAAGTAAATACTTAGCCGAAAAAGAATCACATACCGTACAGTATTTAAATTCTGATAGCACTAAACTGCCTTCCAGAAAGACTACACCAATTTATGTTCCTATCAACAGTGTATGAATGCCTACTTTTTTATATTTTTGCCAATAATGGGTTACAAACATTTTGGTAGGCAAAAAATGATAGGTAAAAATATCTTATTTTGATTTATATATTTTATTTGGGAGTATGACTGAGCATTTTTTTATGGTTTTAGCCACTACCCACCTCCCTTGCTGGGGATCAGACCAGGGCCTCACACAAGCTAGACAAGTGCTCTACTACTGAGCCATATCCCAGTCCTCTGCCATTCATTTTTAAAGTAAGTTTATATTCTTCGCCCATTTTTCTATTAATTTGCTTTTTTCTTATTTACTCGTATAATTTCTCTGCATTTTAAGGAAATTAGTCCTTAGCATTAGGTCTTATTCACTAAGCCCTTTATACCGCTGAAAAATTTATAAATTTCAACTATGCTTTATTGTGAATCCTCCTCCTCTTCCTCTTCTTTTTCCATTTATTTTATAATACTTTACCAGAAAATTTCCACACATACTTGGGTCTATATATGCACTCTATTCAGTTATAATGGGATATAAATTTTCTCTCTTTATAGCCCAACTTTTATGTATTCTAGGTTTTTAACAGGTTTTAATATTTAAGGATTTTATAGTTCCTTCCTTCCTTCCTTTCCCCCTCCTTCCCTCCCTCCCTTCCTTCCTGTTTTTTGTACTGGGGATTGAATGTACGGTCTTGTGCATGCTATCACTAAGCTATACCCCATTCTCCTCCATTATATTTTTAATAGCTTACTGTCTGTACATAGGAAAACTTTGTTTTCTGTTTTTGGTGGTACTAGGGATTGAACCTAGGGCCTACATCCCCAGCTCTTTTGTAAATTTTGAAAAAGAGTCTCCCTAAGTTGTTAAGTTCCTCAAGCTAGACTCAAACTTGTTATCCTCCTGCCTCAACTAACTTCTGGCTTTTATTTTTTTTTAAATAAACAATTGTTTTTATTTGTAATTGACCATCATATTGACTTTAATTGCTGCCAACTTTTTTTCAGTTAATTTTCTTGGGTGTAGCAGACATACACTCTTACCCTATCAAGTAAAAGAAACTGTCTCTTCTTTTCCAATACTTATTTGCATTTTTTTAAAAAACTGCCTTATTGTACCACCAAAATGTTAAACATATATGGTTATCAGAGGTATACTTGTCTGGTTGTTATTTTTTTTTTTTAATTTTTTTTTGTTTTTTTTTCCCGTACCGGGAATCGAACTCATGACCTTGCACTTGCCAGGCAGGCACTGTGCTGCTGAGCTAAATCCCCAGCCCTGAGAATGTTTTTAATGTGAGCTTTTACTCTGATATTCACACTTACGCAGTCAATAAAATATCTTTCTACCCCCCCCCCCCATCCCACCAGAGGTGCTAGAGATTGAACCTGGGTCTCACGAATGCTAAGTTCTACTGACCTACACACCCAGGCCTATTCCTATTTTTAAAATCAGAATTTTTTTGGGGGGGTGGGGTAGGGATATAGCTCAGCAGTACATCACGTGCCTGGCAAGTGCAAGGACCTGAGTTCGATTCCTGATACCAAAAAAAGAAAAAGAAAAAAGAAAATTTTTTGTGTGTTTTATTTTTGAAATAAGGTCTCACTATAGTGCAGGCTGCCCTTGAACTCATGGTACTCCTTCTGCCTCAGTACCCCGAATGCTGGGATTTTAGGCATGCCCTACCAGGCCTCGCTAAATTTTTTGAATATTAAAAAAAACTTGCCTTCTATTTGGACTACTATACTTTTAATTTCCCCTCATATTAATCTTTTAAGAGTTTCTCTGGTTTTACTGATACAACTTTATTTTTTTAAAAAATAATATACTAAATACAGTAAATTATTTCCCTTCTATATTATCTTGAAAGTTTGATGAAAGTGCAGTCTAAACCACCATATTACTGCCTGTGCATGACTATTTTCTGTTACAGCCAGCCAGCTTGATTTCACCAAGTACAAGTACATTTGCCTAGTGATGAATATGCAATTTCAAGAAAAAAAAACAAGAGCTATTAGACATTTTCATTTTCAGATTTTTATAATATTCACACACAAAAACAAAAATGAGAAATTTCTATCTATAGCATTTATCTCCTCAGAAGAGTTCTTTCTCTCTTTTGCAGTACTGGGGGTGGAACTCAAGGCCTCAGACATGCTGGACAAGTACTCTACCACTGAACTATATGCTCAGCCCTTTTTTATTTTTATTTTGAGGCAGTGTGGCTAAGTTGCACAGGCAGGCTTGAAGCTGGGAATCCTCTCACTTCAGCCTCCTCAGCAGCTAGGATTACAAGTGTATGCTAATATGCCCAGGCTCCCTTTATTCTTTTAAATACATACGTAAACATCCTAGTTAGAGAGTAAGAAAAAAAGTGAGATAATATAAAAAGTCTCAAGCCTAATACATTACCTGCAATATGTCTCTGTGTCGCTGTAACGTATGCATCAATGCTGCATTCAAGGAGGGGACGCCTGCACTGTTGGTATATTCTGCCATTTTGTCATTTACTCCTGTAAGCTAGGAAAAATGAAAAAAATATTTTAAAAACATTATAAACGACTAAAAGCAAATTATTTGCCTATACATCCTTTTAGTTGACAGCAAAACAAAACTAAGCAAAAGAAAACTCAAGGTTAAAATAACACCCGCATGACCTCGGGATGGCTGTCATCAAAATTCAAGTAGTCTGAAGAGAAAGACATTTTGAATGACTGGATGATTTCAGTCAACATGTCTGCATTTATATAATGCAGTGCCCTATCTAACACGTACACAGTTACTAGCAAAACAGCAATTTAACAGAAAGCACTTACCCTTGCCAAAAGCTGTTCAATCTCAATTGCCATTGTCTCAAACATTCTGTCTTGGCTTGACCCATTTAAAAGGGGTGTTGTGTCAGAACTAAGGAGAAGTTCAATGAAAGGCAATCCATTACTCAACTCAAGTCCTTTAAAACACACTTAAAACAGTAAAGTAATTACCCTTTTAGGTCAAGTAAACCCCTGAAACATTCTATTTCTTTAGACATTGATTTTTTAAAATTTTCCAATAAAGGTCACACACATCCTACAAATTAAATTCACTGTAAAGTATAACTGAATGTACAATTTTCCTAAACTTTTATATATCAATCTCAACAATGTAAAGAAATTCCAAATGCTTACTTACATTTACTCAAATGATAGAAAGTAACTTTAAGCTATAGCAGTGTCCAATTAAACTGAATTTAAAAGAACATATACGTGAAACAAAAGAGAAATGTAGAACTCCTTATAAGAGAAACTATAAAAATCAACTATAGGTTATGTTACAGAGCCTGTGAGAAATCTTTTAAGTTTTTATCCTTTAAAATTAGTTTCTTAGGAGCCAGGCATGGTGGCGCACACCTGTAATCCCAGCACTTGGGAGGCTGAGGCAGAAGGATCATTGCAAGTTCAAGGCCAGCCTCTGCTACAAAGTGAGCTCAGAGCTAGCCTGAAATGCATAGCAAGACCCTGTCTCAAAAACGCAAAAATAAATTAAATAAATAAATAAATAAATAAATAATTAGTTTCTTAGGCCTTCAATTTGCTCTTCTTTCCTTGACTTTTACCAAGAATAAAATTGAGATTTAAATGATCCAGATTACAGTTATTGAATAATCAGGAACTTACTTTCAGTGTAAAATACATAGCCGTGTCCAGCTTTTTTGGATACTAATCTTTTATATTTCCACTTATAATGCAACCATCTCATTTTGTATTACAAAAATGTATTAAATATTTTTATATTCAGATAGTCAAACTCTACCTTTTTGCATGTGCAAGATGTTTGACAGACTCAAATTCTAGAACTGCATGTCCTAAGAGTTTCTTTTGTCTCTTTCTGAATGAACCCTTCAGAAGACCCCCATGTCTGCATTGTCATATGCAATCAGAGATAATCTGGGTACAGGTAAATGCCGAGGCAATGACTATGCTCTCCAATCTTATTGAAGACTTTGTCCTGCTCTTTAACAGTACTTGGGTGTGGCAAATGAAGCAGATAAAATCATCAGTTCAACACCAAAGAGTGTCTTAGCTACCACTATTTTTCCTTGTACCTTTCTACTCACACAGCAATAATAAGCAGTGAGGGGCTGGGGATTTAGCTCAGCGGCAAAGCGCCTGCCTGGCAAGCGCAAGGTCGTGAGTTTGGTTCCTGGTACCGGAGAAAAACCAAAAACCAAAAAAAAAAAAAAAGCAGTGAAACAGCGAAAATATATCTAATAAATATTTTTATTTTAAGATGTTTAATTAGATCTAAGTGGGTCTTGAAACTTTACAATTTATTGTAAAATTTATCTGTCCTAAACTACGATATAAAAATATTTAGTTCTTGGGCTGGGGATATAGCTCAGCGGCACAGTGCCTGCCTAGCAAGTGGGAGGTTGTTAGTTCGATTCCTGGTACCAAAAAAAAAAAAAAAAAACACCACACATAAACCCTGGGGGACATCCTGAAATCACACAAACCACAGCCTGGGCTACAAAGTGAGCTCAAGGCCTGCCTGAACTGCATAGCAAGACACTCTCAAAAAAACAAAAAAAAAAAAAAAAAATTAGTTCTTTATTGTCAGAACCAAGCCAAAGCTCTGGGGTTGCCTTTCAGAATATGCCCATGCAGAAATGCTCTCTGTATACTACTACAGATTTCTCCCTGCCAGAAAAATTAAAAAAAAAACAACAACGGGGCAACAAAATGTTATCCTCTCTTTTCTTTTTTTTGAGACAGGGTTTCACTTTGCAGTTGCAGTTGGCCTTGAACTTACTATATATCCTGGGCTAGCCTCAGACTTATGGCAAACCTCTTGCCTCAGCCTCCCCAAGTACTGGATTTAAAGCCATACATTACCATGCCCAACTTAACAAAATGCAATCTTGAGGGAAGAAACTGACTCTGTCTTGTTCACAGATATATGGCTACCACCTGGCACATGATGAATGCTCATTAAATATTCACTGAATAAATGAATAACAGGGCAATCTCTACTACTACTGCTTGTTTCATATTTGTCAACTCAGTATGAGTCCAAGGACACAACCAAAAGCCCATTTTCTAAATATAGTGCTACCTTGGTTCATGAACATATTTCTTCATGAACTTAATTCTTTCCATGATTCTGGTCACAAACCAAACTGGACGAGAACCAAATCAAATTCAACGGTTAGGTTAAATGTTGACATTATGGGGAAATTTGATCCAGTTCTCACCCAATTCAACTGTACCAGGATTCAGTTAAATTTAATTCATTTTATACGTGTCTGATGATTCACAGACCTTGAAGTTTTCCTGGGAAAAATGTTCTAGCTATTGCTGAGTTTATTTATTGTGATATGCTTCCAACATTAAACAAAATACACTGAATCTTCAAAACCTTGTTCATAGATATATGGCTACCACCTGGCACACGATGAAAAAACAAGGGTTTTTTTTTTTTAAGGACAATTAGGTAGTGGAAGTAATTCTATGAAGTCAATTTCAATTTGTAGTAGAATTTCTTAGGGAATGTTTCAAAACTGCTTTTTTCTTTAAAGGAGTTAACAAAAGTATTAAGATTATGAAGAACAGATAATAATAAAAGCATCATGTAAAAGTATCTCTTAAATGTGAGTTTCAAAATTATATACCGGCTGGCACAATCAAATGGGAGGCTTCAAGGAAAAAGATTTCCGATCATAAATTAATTTTTCTCAAATCCCAAAACAAAACAAAAAAAACAACTGCTTTCTCTTTACTTGCTAAATTAAGGTGAGCCCAAAGCCTTGGACTGAAATAAAATCTATGTAACATGATAAGAATTTATTTTTAGGCCCTGAAGTCCATATATTGGCCCTGGTATCTATGTAATCCATGTGCACTTATTAAAAAGGAACAACACCTTGGCTACAGCATGGAAATGAGTCTTTTGTTGGAATGAGCATAGTATAGTAGGTTTTAGAGTGTGGGCACAGGATATAGGAAGATAGAGGTGCAGATTTAAGCTCAATTTTTGTTTTTATTATTAACTGAAAAATATCACATCCACCACTACCTTTGAAAAGGTATTAAAAATATGAGTGGGTTAACAACCAACAAGTCTACTACCAATTTTACTGCCAGGGTATACAGGAACAACATGTGTAAAAATATTCCTAGAATGCTGGGTGCAATGGCACATGCCTGTAATCCCAGCTACTTGGGAGGCTAAGGCAGAAGGATCGTAAGTTCAAGACCCACCCAAGCAACTCAGTGAGAACCTGTCTCAAAATAAAATTTAAAAAGGGCTGAGGATATAGATCAGTGGTAGAGCACTTGCCTAGTATGTAGAAGGCTCTGGATTGATTCCCCAGTACCACAACAAAATAAATAAATACAATTTTCCAACAGGAAAATTTATATAAAGGTCTCAGAATAGTGCCTGAAACATGAAAAACACTCTGCTCAATTATTAAAATTGTTATTAATTAGCAAAAGTCAGAAACAATTCCTATCCATTGAATGGTTAAACCATGATATACTTACACAATATTATAAATGAATATACCAGTGATAAATTCACAGTTGAGTCTCAATGATAATGTTAAGCAAAAAATCAAGTTGCAAAACAATTATTAGAGGATACTGCAAATTGTGTAAGGATACAAACATATATAGTAAAAATATATGGTGATACACATAAATGGGAGGGAAAAAATGGAATGTCATCAGGGACTTCACAATTGAATCAATAATGATCCTTTCTTAAAATGGGAAATAGGCACACAGGGTCCATTATATTATTCTTTGTCTTAAATATCCCTTAATATTTTTTGAAACAAGTGGACAACTTAAACTATGCATAAGATTCAAAGATAAAAGTCTTTTTTCTAGGTTCAACATAATAATATATTAGTTTATAAAAAAGTACCAAATAAAAATAGCTTCTATGACTAATGGTGGGGATACACACTACATTACATTCATTTGAAAAGAATAAACAACAGAAAATTGAGAGGTATACTTTCCATTTGGGTAGTTAGACCCATTTAGCAATTAAGAAAACAAAAAATTATGTGCACAAATGAGGCGTATTTCTTTATAGTGGCTAACCTAAAAACTTATTCTTTGATACAAATTCATTCTTAAGGTCTAGCAGTTTCCTCTTGAGATCATAACAATCTTTGCCTAAGGATCCTAAATAAATGAGTCTCAAGAACTAGGAAGAATTTCAGTAAAGTCACTAAAAAACATGCCAATCAATGGCAAAGACAATAAAACATCAAAAATTCATTAACAGACCATGTTACAAATATTATGTATTTTAATTTTTAAAAATGCTTTTAAAACATTGTATAATTTAAGGCATTAAGAGACAGAATCTGGTAGTACCTATACCTGTCGTGTCTTCCATCTCTGGCGCTGCTGTGACTGTAACTTGTACATAGTTTACTGAAGGAAACTAGTTTCAGGTCAAGTTCATTTTCCAACTGTCGGGCCTGTTTCCTGAGATCTTTAGCAAAATTACAAAAGTAAGTTAGGCAAAAGAGTTTATCAACAGACAAGTAAATCACAGTACTGTTCTAAACAAAGTAAACCATGAAAATGATCATGTATTGGTCTTTGACTTAGTTACCCCGACATAAAGAAAAAAAGGAAACCACACACTTAATCAAGAAAGTAAATTAGTCATTTTTTAAACTTCAGATGGAGCAAGAAAGGAGGTACCAGAAGAGATGGAAACTTTTAGCTTAATTCCTAAGACAGCTAGATAACAAATGTTAATTCTAACATCCCTGAAATTATTTATAGAAACAATAACCAAAATTCTGTAATATAGAGGAAAATAAGAGAACACAAATCACAAAATAAATGAATAGGGTTTATGACCAGTTTCATATCAATTTACCAGCTAACTTTGTAAGGAAAAAGCCAACACTATTTTTGCAAAGATTTTTCTTTTTTTCTCCGGTACCAGGAACCGAACTCACGACCTTGCGCTTGCCAGGCAGGCGCTTTTGCCGCTGAGCTAAATCCCCAGCCCCTATTTTTCTATCTCTTTATGTTTCAAAGCTTTATTAAGCTCATGAGATCCTTTTCATAATAGTAAAATGATTTAGCAATTGAACATAAAGAAAAAATTATAATTAACAATTAAAAATTGCTTTTCATAAACATACTGAAAAAATCTGGAGAAGGTGGAACTAACATTGTGCTACTAAATCAAATATGATTGTGACAGAGATAAAAGCACAAGTCTGAAAAGCACACAAGTTTAAAGGCAAACAAGCAGGCAGAGAAAATGGTATAGCAGTTTGACACTAAGGAGCTGAGTGACAGAGGCCACTTGTGGAAACCCACACATAGATCTGACTAGATTCACGAAGGAGTTGAGGTTAAAATAAAACGACTGAACTATAGGAAGAAATAATATAAGAATGTCTCAGGAGTGAGGAATACAAAACATCCCTTCAATGTATTTTGCAACCAGAGGAAGTAAAGTAACATAGTGGAGCATATTTGCCCAGGAGAGCAAATCTCAGCTCAGTTTCTTATTGGGTCTGACATTTATTGAAAATCTACTTAATCTATGAATCTCAGCCTTTTGTTTTTTAAACCTCTGCATTGAGGGGCTTTTTATGCATTGATAATCATATGTTCAAAGCACCTGGCACAGAATATGTTGTCAATAATCAGCTGCTTTAAATTACAGCATGGTACTTTAAAGAACCCACAGCATAGTGAATAGTATTAAAGATACCAGTAACCACTTCTACATAACTAAAAAATGTTTTCTACCTAGTACATATATTTCAATACATACCCATTTTAATACATGTTTTTAAACTAGAAGTACACTTCTTGGTAATTTTAGTAATTGTCATTTCTAGTACAAAATATCAGGCATTTTGAAACTATGACAGACAAGCACGAATGAACTTAAAATTCAGATTCTTAGAGCAAGTAGCTTACAGTGACAATACTGCGGTTTCTAGACGTTTCAGTGAGCACCAAGAGGAAATAATCAAAAGGGCGAAAAGACAGAAGCAGTTTCTATGTTGCAGTAAAGCAAACAGCTGAAAGAAAAGGTGAGCTTTCTCTCAATTTTGTTTTTCATCGTGGTTCAGGAGTTTTACATGACTTCACTTGATTGGACCGTATTTTCAGGAATTAATGCACCGGTCAAGTCACAAGAAACTTTTCTGGTAGAAGAGGTATAGCAAAGGCAATAACGACAACGCACACAGGTTCTTTCAACTTTCTCTTTCTAACAAAAACGATCCTAGACTCCGAGGCAGTGAATAAAGTTATTTTCTGTCTTCAAACAACCAATTCTTAAAAGTCCTGGCCTGAAGCTGCCCTGGGGTGTCAGTAGGAAGCATTCGCTCCTACTTCCTTTAATAGACAGGACTGACAAGTTCCTCCTTTCTCTTTATCCACTGTTTCCCACCAGTGATCTCAGCCCCCAAACGCTTGAATACTCCCTTCTCCAGATTGTGAATCTTCTCGCTCAACACTTGTCTCTTCTTGGTACCCAACCCCGCGACGTCCGCGTTCTACCACCCTTCACTCATTTCCACTCTGGTTGACTCAGGTCCCTCTTCGTCTCCAACCCTTGGGTCCACTGTCCAACTCCTGCCGCTCGGCCGGATCTCGCGGCCCGCTCAGGCCGGACCCCTGCCCCAGACCGTTTCGTTTCCTCAGTCCCCGGGGCTTTCACTAAGCAAGTCCCACCTTTTAGTTCAACCGCTCAGGAGGCCTGACTTTTTCCCCCGGTTCCTCCCCCAAGACCTATCTGCACTCAGTCCCTCTACCCCCGGCGAGACCCACCCCAAGGCCTCGCCCTTACCTTCCCAGTAATTGCTCGTCCCAGCCGCCATCTTTGTTGTCCAACGTCAGACAGAACAGAAGAGTAGCGGGCTGCGGGCCAGAGAGTCACCTCCGCGCCTTCTTCCGCCGTGAGCGCCAGGGCCGATGGGATACGCGAACATCCACAGACACCACCACCTGGTGGCAAATCCGTTAATTTGCAGCTTTTTTATTTTTATTTTTAAAAATTTATTTTAAAATAAAAGGAAAACATATTAACAGACATTCATTTACAAAATAGCATAACAACAATACAAACAATACAGAGTTACAGACAAAGTGGTAGGAAATTAACAATAGTTGTTGTATTACATATTGATATCTTCAAGGTGGTTTCTCAGCAAAACGAATAGAGACGTGCAAGACTGATCAAATAAGTAGCTCAGGGGCACAAGCGCCTTCCTTGTAAGCTCAAGGTCCTGAGTTTGATTCCCGGTACCTAAAAACACAAAAAATAAAAAACAAAAACAACCAATTTACAGCTTTTGAGTAGCAAGACGAAACTTTAATTTCAGCCCCTGAAGCTCCATGAAAGTCTGTTTTTAATATTCGTATCTCTTTTCTGCGCCACAAAGTTTCGTCATCTCGTTTTACCCCTTCTTTCAACAGTGTCCACATGACTAAGAGTGACTCTCAGAACTCCCTCGATTTTCCTCTTCTTTTAAATGTGTGTTGTCAGCCTCATCCTCAGAGACAGAAGAAGCTCTTTCCACATCCTACCTCCTTCAGTGCTCCGTCATCCACGTGTTTAGTATATGCGCCTTTCTCTACTGGCCGCTTTTTCCTGTGTTTACAGTAGAGTCTCAGTTCTCTTTCCTTCCCAGCCACCAAATCCACAAACTGTTCTAACAACCACTTCCACTTCTCTCGTTCTGACCCACAACCTGCTGTCCATACCTCACTGATTATAAGTGATCAATCTCTGGGTGCTGAATTTTACCACTTTTAGTGAAGTTGTGGATACTTTATCTCCTGTGAAGTCATCCTCTTACTCTCATTTATAATTGTTTTTAACATTTCTTTTATGCGCATCGGAGAACCATATCAGACAATACTATTAATTTTGCCCCAACTATCAAACATACAAATTCAAAAGGAAAGGAAAACTTCTCCTGTTTACTAGTATTTTACTCTTTCCATTGTTCTTTCTTCCTTCCTGTCCTGAGATTCTCTTTTTCTTTCTGTTTCAAGAATTTCCCCCTGGGGCTGGGGATTTAGCTCAGCGGCAAAAGCGCCTGCCTGGCAAGCGCAAGGTCGTGAGTTCGGTTCCGGGCGCCGGAGAAGAACCACAACCAAAAAAAAAGAAGAGCTTCCCCCCGTTTTTTTTGTAGAGTGAGTCAGCTGCTAGCAAATTCTCAGTGTTTCTTAATCTGAGAATGGTGATTTCTCCATGTAGAATCTGGAATTGACTAACCCCCACCTCATCCCGCCCCTGCTCCGAGATTGAAAAATGCCAGTTCCATCTTTGATGAGAAATTTGCTGTCATTTGAATTGTTTTTCCACTACACTTAGGATATCTTTGCTCTCTCAATGCTTTTAAGAATTGTCCTTTCTCTTTAGTTTTCAGAAGTTGATTATATCTTTGTGGAGATTTCCTTGGGGTTTTCCTGTTTGGGCTTTGTTCAGACGTTTATCTCTTTTGCTCAATTTGGGACATTCTCAGTCATTTCTTCAAATATTTTTTCTCTCCCATACTTTCCTCTTTTCTATGGGACTCTGATGACATGACTGCTAGATCTTTTGATAAAGTTTCACAAACTTTGTTCAATGATTGTTGAGTAATATCTACTATTCTGTTTTCAAGTTTACTGGAAAGTTGTTATGGTAGTGTTACAGTTCATTGCAAAAAGTGTTAACAGCTCCTAGAAGGTGTTTACAGCTCCCAAAAAGCATTGCAGTGGACCAAGACCAACAAACTCAGGAGCACCTGGCACCTGGGATTTTGGAGGCAGGTTTACAGCATCATTCACGCTGGTGGGCTTGGCTGGGATCCTTCACCAAGGAGCCAAGCCCTCAACGCTCAGGGAGCAGGACTTTTTTTAAAATAGAATTTACAACCAAGCAGGAGGTACAAGAACAGAGCGTTTGCCATTAGTTGATTGGACAGAAAGTTACACTGAATTTCACCTTCTTAGCATATAACTAAGATAAATTACAGGTTACATGATTGACCAAGAAAGTTACTGAATTTCACCTGCTTAGCATACAGCTGAAACAGGGATGAGAGGTTACATCAGATTGGGAAAAACAAACAAGAGAGAACAAATGGCTTATTGAAGGCCAGGAAGAGGGATGCTGTGGGGGAGCTCCTTTCTGGGAGCAAGTTTTTTTTCTGCTTTAAAGCAAGTACGTCTTTCCTCTGTTCCTTCCGTTCTACTTTTGAGCTCCTTTGATGAGTTTACTTCAATTATTATATTTTTCAGATCTAAAAAAATTTCCATTTAGTTCATTATATCTTCTGTTTCTCTGTGGAAACCATACTTCTTTGTTGCCACTGTTTTAAATAATTTTTAAGTTTGTAATTATTCATTATTAAAACTACATTATAAGCCTTGTCAGATAATTCCAACACCTGTATCATTTTGACATTGGGGTCTGCTCATTATCTTTTTTTTTCCTTTACTCAAGTTGAGATTTTCTGGGTTCTTGGCATGATGAGTGATTTTGTAATTATATGCTGGACAGTTTAGGCATAGTTTTGATACTGTAGATATTTAACTCTTCTGTTTAAGAAGATTTCCTCTTACACTGTTTTAGTAGGGGAGGCTGGAAGCTGCCTTGCTGCTTCAAGGTGAGAGTAAACATCAGTACCCCAGGTGGGGGAAATACCTTACTATTGCTCTTTTGTGGCCCCCAATGATACCACTGCACAGGAATTGTTACCACCAAGATATGATGAAAGTCCTGGCTCCCTGCTTTGCTTTCTGTGACATCATGAGGTAGACAGAGAGAGTAACCAGGTAACGGTGGAAGTCTAAGCTCCCCCTCTGAGCCCTGGCTGGTAAGGGTAGGGGAGTAGGGGAGATGAGATTCACTTATTTCTGGAGCGCTTTTCTGGAGTAGAGGAATTACCATACAGAAATATTGTCTTGCTAGGCTATTTGAGTCCTTTTCTAGAGACAAGGTTTTCCTCTGGGATTTTCTTCTTTGTATCCTTTGGCATTACTAGCTTTCCAGCTTCTCCAGGACTGTTGTGGGAGGTACAGTGTGAACCAAAGAAGAAATCCAGGGAACTCACTTCCACATCCCTCTTTGGAAACGGACGTCCCTAGCTGGTCTGTTGCCTCCTTTCCACCTTTGAGTCTTATTTTTGTTTTATATATAATGTATAAAGGTTTTGCTGTACTTAGTGGAACTGAAACTGTCCAGAACTAAAATTCATTTAAAATTTCAATCCACTTTAACTCTGCTAAAATTCCGTCTTCTAATTTCTTATATTTATTCATTACTATTATTTTAAACTGATTGATAACCAAAAACACTGTACCTCCCATAGGCTATTTTCTTTTTCCTTGATCATCATTTGATTTTTTTTCTGAGAGTAACTTTTGATGGGATGCTATATATTATAGATAAAAAACTTATAGAAATCATTTGTAGCTCTGGATGATAGTATGCCTCTCTGGACAGAATTTACTGCAGTCATTTCAGGTGGGAGCAGATCAGCATATGGGCTGGAATATCAGCTGGGAATCTATGTTTGTTAAAACTGATCTATTTTTGCTTAGTCTTTTTTTTTTTTTTTTTTTTTGGTACCAGGAATCAAACTCAGGACCTTATGCTTGCCAGGCAGGTGTTTGTGCCACTGAGCTACATCCCCAGCCCTACTCAGTCCATTTTTCTATTTTTGGTTAGCCCTTATTTCTAATGTGTAGCTATTTACGTTCCCCAACTGAAAGCTGTTAAGCAGAGTCCCTTTTCCTGACAGGCGCTGAATTCTATTTTCCTTCACCTAGTGATGCTGCCTAAAACTTCTGCTCAAGTTCTTTGCCTCCTGCTGGAACTCTGCTGCTAGGTGTCTCTACCTCTTCACCACAATTCAACACCAGTCAACAAATGCTAAAACTATCTATCATGCTCACATCTCAATTTCCTTTGCTGTAGGCTCTTCATCTCCTAAGCCCTTACTTTGGTAATTCTCCAATTCTTGTTTTTTTTTTTAAATCCAGCTTTTCTAATTGTTCTTGGTGAGATACTGTTTTAAACTAATCCACTAGAGTAGGTAGTAGAACTAATTTATCCTATTATTCCTATTTTATCTTGGGTGTCTTATATTTTCCACATAATAATCACATAGTCATTTAAATTTGATTCTTACCAACATTAATTTTTGTTATTCTAATGGCTGAGATATATTGTTAATAGAGCAAAGTTTTGGTATTTGTTTTTTTGTTGTTGTTGTTGGTTTTAGTGATGGGGAAGGGTTGAAATCGCTCCAAATTTAGTTATCTTTGACTAATAGCAGATTTTAAATTGTCCTCTTCTGTTTCTTTTATTGTCAGAGGGTGTTTTCCTCCTTGTTCACTTTTTGCCTTCACTAAAAGCTGTGTTCCAAAGACTGTTTGTTTAAACCATACCTGCCCCCTTTTAAGCTGTGCTCACTTTGAAGCCTGTCCCTTCCCTCCAGTGTGTGCTCTGATCTGCTTGGACACATTTAGACCATTCAGACTTGGGGCTTTGTCTTTCTGGCAGCAATTTTAGATCAACATGCTAGTATCCCTCTTCTGTCTTCCCTGTGGTACATTTCCATCCACTCCACCTTGTGGTGGGATGGGGCTGGGTGGTCATGTGACAGTACATGCTAAGACTTGGTTATTTTTCTAATTTTATGTGACAGTTCAAAATTCTCTTCAAATTATACCAAGAGTGTGATTTCAGTATAGATTTGCCTTTTCTGTCTTGTTTTCCATTATTTTGCAATAAAATAGTGGGAAACAATTAATTAGGTTGCCACAAATGTTTTCTGAAACTTCATTCTTCAAAGATATACTTAATAGAATCCAGTTTTTGAAGTTGTTTTATCCAGCACTTTTAGTGTACTTTTAAAAAAATGTTTATTCTTAATTGACACAAAGTAGATATTTATGGGGTACACTGTGGCATTTAATATAGGGATACAATGCTAATGAGCATATCAAAGCAACCACTATATCTATCACTTGACACAGTTGTCATTTTTCTTTTTGTTGGTGCTGGGGATCAAACCCAGGGCCTTGTGCATGCAAAGCAAGAACTCTGTCACTGAGCCACATCCCCAGCCCTTTTGGTATACTTTTAATTTTAATGTACTTTGGTTTCCATTGTTGGGAGTCTAATCTTTTAGTCTAACTGTTAACCCTCTGAAGTTAATTTATTTTCTCCCCATCTGCTTTTTTCAGTTTGTTTTTGGTGACCTGCAATTTCACTGATGTGTGATTGGTGTGATGTGTATGGATGTTCATTTTTTCTTGCTTGGGTTGACCTTATTTAATCAACAGACTGATACTACAGAATCAATTTGGATAAATTAGTAATCTAGGTTTCCTATGTGCCATTATTTCTGTTCTTTCCTCTAGAACTATGAAACATGTTAAACAAACATATGTTGAATTTTATTAATTCAGGAGGGTGTGGTGGCACCCTTTGGAAGGCGGAGGCAGGAGGACTGCAACTTTGAGTCCCATTTGGGCCAACTTAGTGAGAATCTGTCCCAAAATAAATAGATAAAAAGGGGAATATAGCTCAGGGTGAAGACCCCGCGTTCAATCTCCACTATCACACATACTAAATATTACCTTAAATTCACTTTTATTTTACCTAATATCTATTTTCTATCCTTTGATCTCTGTGATGTGTAAGAATTTTTATCCATCTTTTAGTTGTCTGTGCTCTATCTGGCACTACACCTATCTAATTTTAGTTTCTGTTCTTTCATTTCCAGAAGTTCCTATAATTTCCTGTGATAGTCTCTTCTTTGACAATACGAAGTATATCTCTTTTAAGACATTTGATGTCAACATCTGAAACCTGGATAGAACTTTGCTGCTCATTCTAATTGGTGATGAAAAATTGTAGTCCCCATCTCTAGGATGGAACTAGAAATCAGCATTTAACTCAGTCACCTACAAGCGGCACAGGATGGCTTGACCCACGGCCAACCAAACTTTGCTTAGCTGGCTAGGTTCTAGACATCCTGTTTCCCATGCCCAATCCCTTTCCAAAGTGTTCAAATCCTGCTAGGTAGAAACAATCCTTCCTGTTTGTCCTTCTGACACTCAGGTCCTCCATGCTAAAAATCCAGCAACTGTATTTTCTTTGTAACTTCGTAAATCTAAAGCTACTTTAAAATTACTTTTCAAAAATTCAGCAGTCCGCCAATTCAGTCATTATCATAATGTTTTCTCTATATCTATTCTCTGCCTATCTTTATGATCAATTCTTTTAGAGTATCACTTTTTTTCAAACACTAAATCAAACGCCTATTTGGTATTGAAAAACTCTCCTGGGAACCAGGTGGCACATAGTAATTATCAATATTAGTATAACTTAAAAATATTTTAAATTAGTAGTGACTTAGATGTAGCAATCTAAACTTTTCCAATATCCCTGGCACTCTGACTCAATTTCAGTGACAATCATAAACTATAATCCATGTTACAAGTGCTGGTTAATATTCGGTTTCCACATGTTCCATCTTAAATTTTTCCACCTGCTTTGATTTTTCATCCATAGCTTTGACTTTACTACTCCCTGTTTCATATTGCTTCCAATTAAATCAATATATACTATCTTTGCTTAAGCTCAAACACCCATTTCAATACACTTTGACTTTTTTTTTGTTGTTTGTTTTTGTTTTTCTCCGGTACCAGGAACCGAACTCACGACCTTGTGCTTGCCAGGCAGGCACTTTGCCGCTGAGCTAAATCCCCAGCCCCCACTTTGACTTTCAATTACCATAACTCTAACCTAAGCAAGTAATTCACCCCTTGGTCTTCAATTTTCTTCCAGTCTGACCTCTAAACTAGAATACTTTCTACTCCATATAGACCAAACTATCTCATTTGTGCTCATTTTGTCTACATTTGTTTACAGAGTACAGTGATTCCATCTGACCTTAGCCCAAAGAGCCAAAAAGTGTGTTTGCTCTTTACATTCTACTGGTTAATGTGGGTGGAAACTGTAATATTAAAGTAAAAATCAGGGCCTATCTGATTTCATTGCTGTTTAAGTGCAAGTAGTAATTAATGTATTTATCTGAGGTCTGCAATAAATAGTACAGAATCAGTTGGCATTCTAACTGCAAGTGAGAATGAAAGATGACCTACATGATGATATTTATTCATAATTGAGAACAGCGACCATCATATTTACTCTGCTGATAATAATCAACTTCTAGAAACCTGAAAAACTGAAAATCAGGTCACTGTTTAAAAAAGCAAATTGCTTCTTCATTAAAGTATGAGAAAATTTCACAAAATAGTTCAAACATTGAGAGAAAAAGAACCATTGTCACTGTTCACACTTTCTATGGGAGTAAAATAGTATTCACTGAAGAATAAACACAATCTAATTTCATTTAAAAACAAATATGAAGTGTTTGGCACAATTAAAACTTTACTGTCGTTCTTTAGACAATGACAGAAATTTTCCAGTAAGTATTTGAGTCTAAGTATTTCTTCTAAATTAAAAAGACCACCTGTAAAAAAGATCTTGGCTCATATATTTGATAAAATAACTTTCAAAATGATCAGAAAACAGCAAATGAAGGAAAATGATGCAGTACTACAGGCATTCAACTCTAAGTCAATAATGTTAGCCCTTGCTAACAAAACTTTTCATTCTCACTATAATCCTATCAAGCATTATTAACTGAGAAACTGAGACTCAGGGAATGTTATGAAACTCATGTAATATAAGATTAAATAGGAAGCAAACGGAAGATCTACAAATCAACTGTAGGCGAGTCCAAGCTCAAACCTTTCTGTTCTCGTTCCTTACAACAGACTTTTCTTTGGAGAGGAAACAAACACTACTGAAGTACAGCTTATTTTCATTTCTAGTTTTCTAGTCAGGACTACTAATTCCTTGTCATCAGATCCCATGTTTCTTATATAATTTTCTTTCTCAATCCCTCTTAGAGCAGTGGTATCAATAAATGTTGTCAAATAACCAGGGGATAGTGAATTCATCATCACTGTGCCTAAAAGTAGCAGGATACATTATTCTTCAGGATTCACCTGGGAAAAAGGATTTTTGACAAGTTTAAAATAGATATATAGAGACTTTCAACCTTTAACTGATCCTAAACATAGGGCAAGGGTGATGAGAGGGCATACTGTTAAAACATTAGTTGCTACTATTTGTGGTATCCTTGTGGAATGACTGAATATGTCATTCTAGATGAACTACAAACTGAAAAGAGAACTGTGGTTACTATATATGATGTGACTACTTCAGAAACAAACTTTCTTTGGAGTCAGTTCATACAGATAAACATTTTATAGATGACACCTGGTATTTTGATCCTGGTATTATTTTTTCTCTAGGATAGGTAAGAAAAACTAAATACATAACTTTCATACTGAAACTATAATTTTCTGGTCTATTGCTTTGGATAAAAGATTGTGAGACAAAACACAAAGACAAACATCATAAAATAACTTTTATACAGGATTAGTAGATCTGTTTACATATAAAAACAAAGGACCTCATTACAGTTAGATTTCACATAAATTACACAGATTGACTTTTTAAAACTATTCAACTTCATTTAAAGTCCCTTTTAAAATTTTTATTTTGAAGGCACAGTGCATAAAATAAATCAAAGACTGAAGCACTTAAAATGAATGGTACGGAGCATGTCATATAAATAGCTATAGATAGGTCTGGAGCTGGGAAGTATCATTCTGAGAAAATGGAGAGGTGAAAAAGAGCATAAAAAAATATCATATGTCATATCTCCAGAAAATCTGCAGCATGGCCAGCATAGAATGTAGCTAGTATACTCATGTTATGCCAGTTATAAAAATCACAATCATACATATTTACATGATTTTCATCCAGTTGCCTCAAAATGGTAACCTACTTTCAAATTTTATGTTTTCTCTCAAGTCAAAATCAACCAGGTTAATATTCTGAAAGTCAAGTGGAATCATTAATAAATTACTGCCCGAAAATAGAACTGGGGGAGATTTCTTTATGAACTGGAAACCTAAGTTTAGTTGATTAAGGACCCTAATCACTCCCCCAAAACTGCTTTAACTAAAACAAATCAGAAACCCAAAGAGTTATCAGAAAGTTGCTAGATAGAAAAATCACTGAACACTAACCATAGTGGAATTTTTAGTTATAACAATAAAGCAAAACATGGGAGAAATGCTGGGTTTAAAATGTATGGGGGGAAAAAAAATAAAATAAAATGTATGGGGGAAATGCTATTGTTAAAACAATTCCACTAGAGAACCATAACATAGAGCACTATTATAGCATTTACAGCCAAGAAGCTGTTCACATAGCAGGGATAAAACCTGGCACAAATGTATTTATGGCAACAAGAAGATAAAAACTTTAATGCTGAAAATGTCAACAGAGGAGCTGGTCATGATTACTGAATAATCTGGTGTTAGAAACACAATAAACTCAGACATTAGCACTACCTTTTATTTATCAACTCATAATTAGTTTCAAATTTAATATTCATTAATTCAGCAAGTTTCACTCAGACGAAAGTTACCAAAGATTAACCACTCAATCACACTGAGCCCAAAATACAATGTTTCCTTTCTGAAAGATGACAAAGCCCCAAAGCAAATTCCCTTCAATCAGAATTGTAGGCATTCCTAAACTGGATGGGAACTCACTCACTAAGTACTTCATCAAATTTACATTAGAACCATAGTCTGTCTTTCTGAAACTGCTTGGGCTCATCTTATCGAACTCTACATGATCAGTACAAGTACAATTACACAGACAGACACTTTGAACATTACCTACTCCATCACTTTGCTTTTATTAAGGAGCCAAGAAGGGAGAAAGGCTTACAAACTGATCACCAGCACAACACTATGCCTTGTGAGTAAAGAAAGGCACAACTCAGATTTGGGCACATTACTTAATACTGTGATACTTACTTGCCTCCATGACTCCAAGAAGATGGAAAATCTCTAGGAGAAATACTGAAGAAATGTATCCCCCATCCCATCTCGTTTCAACGCCTTCAGTTGTTAATGTGGTCTAGTATCATTTCAGATCCACACATAAAAGACTGAGCAGGGCTGAGAACACAGTAGTCATGGGTCCTGTACATTCATGTTCATAGGTAACACAGGCTGAGAAGGTCTTGTTTTCCAGCTAAATGTATTATTTAGAAATTTATTATTGACTTAAGACATAACAGAATTTGATTTTCCTTTCAGGAAAAATTACTAGAAGAATTATCTGTATGTTCATCTCTTAAAACTTTTTATATATACTTAAAAGGCATGGCCTCCAGCCGCTGAGATGTATATTAAAATATTAAACATATACTTAGTTCAAGAGAGACGTAAATGTGAAGGTATCCTCTACTGAATACCAATGCTAATAAAGCAAAGGCTGTCACATCATTTCACTTCTAGTTCCAATGTCCAAGCAGGGCCCAACTACCTGCAGACCCCTTGTTGGCTTTCTGACTTTGCATTCTTAAAAATAATGCTGAAAAAAAGTAATACACCACATCTATAAGGAAAATGGAAAGTGTCACTAGAAGAAATTAAATTGTATTTATTTCACTAACTATTACCATCCCATAAACTTTGTTCTGTGGATGCAATGGGATAAGAGGTGGCAGAATTTAGAGTTGCTACTGTAATATCAGGATTAATACCAGAATGGCTTAACCTTGAGCCACCCAAATTTATCACAGATATTTATTAACAAACGTCATGACATCATTATTCCTGCTAAACAAAATCTCTATTTTATAAAGCCATTCTGGATGCATCACTCACAAAACCCGACTGAATGACCTAGGCAAGTGGACCACTCCACATGAAGGCTTTGGGATAACTAATATATTAATGAATATAATTTGAAAAGATGAGAGCTAGTGTTTTGATCCCCTGATTTAGTACAAGTTCAGCAGCAATTTGGCCATTAAAACATTCAAAGGTATTAACCCATTAGATCATTGGTAAGACTCATACTTACAAAAAGCATCATTTCCACTGAACAGCATATTTAACAGCAATTAAATGCAAATATTTGAGGTCTTTACATGACTGGCAGTGAAAATGATACTTTCCCACCACAGTGTTGTATCACACAGTAGTCCATAATTTACATTTTCTTCAAATGGAGGGAGCCATATTTAAAAGCTTTCAATTGAACTTTAAACAAAATTGGTTGCTCAAAAAAAAACCAAGACTTTCAAGTAAAACATTAGGACAAAGAACCCAGTCATTTGCAGAGGCCAATGTAAAGAAGACTGGTCAAGATATTTCATTAATAGCATGCTATTACAGGGCAAAAGCAAAGGCTGGAGCACAAAGTATAGATATTTCGTGTTCAAATGTAGTTAAGAATGTGCAAGTAGATCTCTTCCATGCTTCCAGGTATTTTCAGTAGAATTCAGATCTTGTAGATGGTTGGGTTATCTGAAAACCCCAAGTGTACAACATAGAAAAAGGTTCAAATTTAGAAAATATTAAAGAATTAGGCATTCCTAGAATAAACTAGTGCTTCACAGATAAAAGCAGCAGCACCTGTGGGTTTTTTTTAACCAAGTTAAAAGATAGGCAATATGAACTTCAGCTTTGCTAGATCTCTCTCTCGGTTCTGTTCAAGTGCACATTTAGATCTTTCACAATAAAGGCAACAAGTTCTCCCTTAAAATGGGAATATTTAGAACTTTGCTAAACCTTTCAAAGAGAGGTAGTGAAATCCTGCTACAGCATAGCCCACCAGTTATGATCTAGCCTGGGAATAGGTAGAAAGACAAGTGCGGAAGCCCATTTATTCATTTCCTAATGCTGTATGAGTTTGAAAATCATTCAACCTCCATTAAACCTGAATAAGAGAAACTCCAGCTATTTAATAACTAGAGAAGAGTACTCCTCAATAGGCTGAGAAGAATCTCGAGTTTTTAAAGCTTTTATGTCAGAATATGACTGCTGTCCCTGTCTTAATGTTTCTGGATTCTTTTGGCCTTTAAAATAAAGAAAAAAAGCTAAAGCCACTAGTAAACACCTGATGTGCAAATTACAACATCCAGCAGTTTGGCTTTTTGCTGTGATCACATAAGCTCCAAACAGCTCACTTTAAATTAAAAAGAAAAACTAAGTGGCTATTCCATCTCTGCTGCATAAATAGAAATCAGATTTTTTAAAAAAGGTAAGAGTACTTTCAGTAAGGGAAGTTCAAAACTGCCAGCAAAATTCACAGAAAATACAGATTTAGTAAGTTATCTTCCCAAAGCTCTTTGAAGAAACAAGACAGTCTTCTCTTCTTAATGGAGTGTCTCCCAAGAGGAACTGTAAGTTTGCTTGGTACTTAGCTGGGAGATATGCAAAGTATATTTTTCAATGTTTGCTAGAATATAATGTTTCCTCTTCAGTGTCCGTTTCATCCTGGAACTCATGGCTTAGGAGGGACTTCTTAGAGCTGGTTGACATTAGGCGTATTTCATCTTCATATTCATCATGATGTTGCCTGAGCCGATGAAAACCATCCTTGTGTCTATTAGACTTGATTGAACAGATGCACCAAATAATGCAAGCTGTTAGGATTAATGCTGACATGGTGGCCCCTGTGAAACAAAAATCATCACATGGGGATATATTCCTTAAGAATATGAGTAAGTAGCTACTTACAATGGCACTTTTAACATGTTCATTATTATTTTTATTGTACATACATAACAATCTTTATTGTACTTATTGTACATAAGAGCAACCTTTTATTATTATAGAAAGAGTACATGTAGTGTGCAAAATTAGAAAATATAGAAAAAATAACCAAACCAAAAATCTACATCTTTATATTTTTGTTACCCAGAAATAATTTTTAATTACTTGAGTGCATATTTTCCCAGATCTTTCTTTATGTATGGGTATATATAAGCCTTTCTTTTACCAAAATGAAATCACACAGTCTATTGTTCAGTAACCTGCTAGTGTTTCCTTTATTTTAAATTTATACATAAGATTATCAAGACAAGAGTCTTAGTCATAAAAATAAATACATAAATATAAACATACATATTAATTAATTAATTAATTCCACAACAGTTAATGGGTGGCAGAGGCAGATTTAAACTATGGCTGATCCCTAGTTCCTGTGTTTTTAAGCACTAAATTATCCACACCTTATCTGGTTCAAGCTAAGAACTCTTTAAACGTTCCACATAGGGCCTTTCATGTTTCCAGTGCACCACTTTGTCTCCACTCTCTTGCGTGCATGCAGTATATTATTTTCTTCCTAACCTTTCAGTAATGGCACAAATTAACCTTGGGAAAAAAAAATTTCTATTTCCTGGATCTTGAAAAACCAGAACTAATATAGAGCTAAGTCCTAGGAAATTGTAACCTTAATCTAAAACAAATTATTCACTTACTCAACATCTCTTCATTAAGACCCACTACCTGCCAACCATGATTTTAGGTTCTGGGAAATAGATAAACTTCCTGCTGTCCACAGATTCTGTTTTAGTGGGAGAGATTGAATGTGGATAAGTAAGTGAACAAATATATAATATAATGTTAGGCAATTACATTAAGTGTTATCATGAAAAAAATGGGGTAATAATAGTGACAGGGCACTATGTTATCTACAGTCATCGGGAAAGGCCTCTGCGGAGGTAACAGTTGAGTGCAGACCTGATTAAGTAAGGGCCAAGCCAGGAGACGATATGGAAGGATACAGGCTTGGGAAAAACATGTTAGATAAGAAGACTTTAGAAAAAAATGATTAGTTGTGGGTGACTATGGAGGTGATTGATCCGCTCTTAGAGTGAAATGACTGGTTTTAACTTCAGCTACTAAAAACTAAAATTTCTTTACCTGATATAGTCACCACAAGCTCCCTTGGCAAACCAAATATCCGGTTATCTGTGTCAAAGACTATTACTACAGGACTAGCTGCATCATGATGTACAAAGACCTGGAAGGGTAAAATGCAAGAATTATTAAAAGGTTTACTTAACACACACTATATCGCTAGTATGTTCCTAAGGCCTTCATAGCCAACCAGAGACGATTCATTATCATCTAAGGTGTACAAAATGCCATAAAACTTTCTTTTTGTTGCTAAAGAGGCAATGAAAAGATAATGAAACACCATAATCAAAAAGTTGTTACGCTATTTATCCTTTTGTGCTTCCTAACAAGAGTTTCAAAATATAATAAATTATTCTTAAAAATAAGAATTTAGCTAGGTATAGTGGTGCATACTTGTCAGGAGGCTGAGGCAGGAAAATCACAAATTCAAGGCCAAGCTGGGCACTCAGTGAGACTGTCTCATAATAAAATTTATAGAAGGGCTGGGGGGCTCAATGGTAGAGTGCTTGTCTACATGCACAAGGCCCTGGGTCTATCCCCAGCACTGCAAAACAAAACAAAACAAAACAAACCAGAGTTGTACATATTACTACTCAAATGAAATTTCTTACCTGTGAATGTTGTTGCTGGTACCCCTCAGCGATAGCATTGATGTTATGGACACCTGGGGCTAATAGCACATGGAAATAACCTCCCTCTTTTGTGTGTACTTTTATTCCTTCATTGAGTACAATGACTGCTTTAGAGACTGGTTTTCCAGTCTTATCTTTAACAAATCCATGAACTCCCTTGTGAACCTGAAAAAAAATGTTTAAAATATAAGTTTATGTTTTTATAATGCTAGACATTCTTGAGGCAAGACCAAAACCAAACATTACCTATACAAAACTACCCTGCAAAGCTGGCTTATTCTTTCTTCCTACTGACTGATGACCACATTTGCCACTTAGTCAATGCTTCAGAGTTACAAAGATGGAGATAAGAGAAAAGATAGCCCTGGCCTAAAGCATTAGGCCCCAATCTTCTAATGCTGTGATTTCCTTTTCACCACAGTACACTGACTCCAGGAACAGAGTGATAGATTAAAGAACCTCCCAACATCTCACAAGGTCAAATTACAGCAAGTTTAATATAAAAAACTTTCAAAATACATTTAAAATAAGTAAGTTTTTAGTAAAAGATGAAGACAATGTGTTGACAAAGGTTTTCACGGAACATGCTCCAAAGAGTGTGCTCTTAGTTAAAAAGGAAAGACTCACCTCCACCAACATGCTAAGAAGGGATTTTTTATTTTCCGCCCACAAGGAAGGGAGTTGTGCTGCACTAGGAAAGAGGCAGCAGCTTGTGTACACAGTGATTTCTGGGCAATGTCCATAGGTGACACTATAATCCTGGAATATATAGTTCAAAATCAAATGCAGGAAAGTTAGTAAGTAAAAATGACAACAAATGATTAAATGAAATTAAAAAGAAACTTGTCTGATGGAAACAAGAATCTAATACATTTTACACAAGTATAAATAAACCACTCTGTATAATAATAGGTCATGAACAAGACAGCTCCTAAGACAGCCCTTGAGTACAGGGACAATATCTATCTTTTTTTTTTCCCCCCCAGTAATGAAGATTGAACCCAGCACCTTCACACTGAGCTACATCCCGAGTCTTTGAGACAATCTCACTATGTCACCAAATTGCCCTTGTGGGATTTGAACTTGTGATCCTCCTGCCTCAGCCTTCCAGAGACTAACCCATTTTTATAGCTCCAGTGCTTCCCACAGTGCCTGATAGGTAGGGGGCTTATTAGGGTTTGTTGAATGAATGAATGAGTGAGTATATGTAGATAGCCAGTGTCCTCCTAAAATCTGGAACTTTACTGTAACTCTTACAGCCCTAGAGGTACAAGAACAAGCACTGTGATACCCTCAGTCTAAGGCCTACTGAAAACAATACACACCACTTGCAATAAGATATTAAGCCAGGCACAGGTACTACCCATGTGAACAGGTTCAAAAACATCACTTACCACCTTTGCCTCCAAACCTGTTCTTTTTAGTAATTCACTTAATTGGTAGTAACTTGTGTTCTCACATAGCCACTTGTGAGACAGAAATCTTATCTCCACATAGAAATCTTGCACTGACTTTTCTATCTCATTATCATCCATAATTTGCCAAAGCCCATCAACTGCATCTCTACACAACCTTGGAAACTTCACCCCTCGATTCCTCTCCCATTGCCACTACTTAATTATGCCCTCATTACTTCTTATCTAGACTATTCCAAACCAGTCTCCCTGTCTCCAAACTATCTGAGTTCACTGCTAAGACAGTAATTTTCCCACAGCACAGTGCAGATCGTGTTACTATATCCTTGCTCAAAATCTTTAGTGGCTTCCCATTCTTACTCAAATACAGCATCCAAGGCTCCAAAAACTTTCCATTCTTATCTCCATTACATCCCACATTCTAACTAAATGATTGCTTCTCTGTCCATACTGATTCTCTCTGGGATGTCCTGTTTCATCGTTTCTGTATCCCAAATCCTTTCTCCTTATGAAGGGAAGGCTGCATCTCTGAGTAGGAGTAATTTTTTCTCTTTAATTTCTCATGGTATGTTGCAAACTGCTTTATTCTAGATCAAATCCATTATTTCTATAACAATTATTTGGTTAATAAGTGCATATATTTATCATTAATGTAAGCAAAGTACCTCATATATAGTACATTCTTAGTAAATAAAGTAGGGAAACCAGACAGAGATGGAAGTGAAGTCAATTTTCTGGTTGTACACATGAAGAGATAACCAACTAACCATCTACCTGCTTAACTTAAAGTGAATCGACAACCAATTAAAATGCTGCCAGGAAGAAATTAAAGAAGATCAAGATAAATGGAAAGACATACTATGTCTACAGGTAGAAAGATGATTTTTTTTTTTTTTTTTTGGTTTTTCTCCGGTACCGGGAACCGAACTCACGACC